TTTTTTTTTTTTTTTCTCTTACCGACTTTTAAATCCACTTTTTCGTTATAATGCAAATATAGTTATGTTGAATAAATCTTTTAATTTTATGAATTTTTTACTATCATCTACACATTAGAATAATATTTGGATATATGATAAAAAATGTTTCATCAAATCACACCTGTCATTATTCCCATCATCTTTTGGAAAAATACTTTATTTGTTTTTTAAATGCTACCATTAAAAGAAGAACAAAAATAAAACAAAAAAAAAAAAAAAATTACAAAATAATGTCGTAAAAATCAAGAATGCAGATAAAAATATTAATTCATACAATGTTATTTCCTATGTTGTTTGGTTTCAACAAATAATTTAAGAACATATAGCAGCTTATTATATCATGTAATAGTGTATTATTCTAGATAACACTGTGATATATTTTTTAATTTAAATATAGGGTTATTGATCTATAGGAAAACATGAGCTGCGTATATTTATAACAACATATACTATATATATAAGACCTTTTAACGTTCTTTCTTTTATTCTCCTTCGGATTTTAATATTTTTCTGTTTTTAAACAAGCATAACAAAAATAACAAAAATTATAATAGTGGAACAAATTAGATAATTTATTATGTTATTCTTTTCACGTATTTTATGGTATGTTATGTATGTATAAAAATTTTTTTCTCCATTTATGTTAATTCTATTTTTTATTTTCATATTACGTGCACCATGTCGATACTCCAAAAAAAATATATTAAAAATTGTACATAATACCCTGTTTATAAACTGCTTCATTTAATTTGTTTTAAAAAATATATGTTTTTTTTTTTTTTTTTTCTATGCAATTTTACATTTATAACATAACAGCATATAAGAACCGTTTTAGAATTATAGCATCTTAGATGTAAATGAATTCTTATGAAAAAACATTTTTATAGGATAATATGAATTTTGTCAGAATTCAAAACATTTCAATGTTTTTATCATTCATCTCCATTAATTTTTTAAAAATTTTTAATTTTTGTGGTCTTTTTTTTTTTTTTTTT